CTTCGTTCTCTCTGTGTGTTTTTCACAATTCACAACAGTATTTTCGATTTCTCCAAGTGTTTAATTTTTACAAGTGTTTAATCACTTTATTGTTTTCGTTTGTTTTCAATTCAAACAATTTAAATATGTTTAAATGCGAACAGTGTTCATCGGTTTTTACCTGTAAAGACGGTTTGATCAGACATGGAAAAACTCATACAGGTATACGTTTTCCGTGTACCGTATGCTCAACGACATTCTGGTACAAAAACAACCTTAACAAGCATCTGAAGAACGCTCATGGTATGTACTTATAATAAAAAGTTTTATTTCTATCATATACAATATTAATTTATATTATTTTTCCTAAGGTATCGTCAACGTTCCKGCTCATTTAATACCATTACTAGCTGCGCCGATCACCGCTCAACCAGCACGACCAAGCGTGATTCAGTTCGCGCCTCGTGCCGCTCCACAAGGGGATATTCAAATCGCGCCTCAAATTTTTGTACCAGATGTCCCGGCCGGTGGTTCAAGCATGTTAACTGAAGACGAAATATGTATGGAGGTCATGGATGAATTTGAGGATACAGGTTAGTTTTTATTTATAAGAATTAGATTTTTAAAAGAGACCCGCTGATTTTATCCGTTATGAATTATTTAAACGAATACGTTACATTTTTTTTTTTTTTACTTGGTTTTTATTATATGAGTAAATATATAAATTTCATTTTAAACGTATTAAATAGTCTGTGTAACGATCAATGGTATAACAGTTAGAGTATTCCGACATTGTATCGATCATTTCACTTATCGCATCCTATGGGGTAATAATAGTTGAAGTATTCTGGCATTGCACCGGTTGTCAGATCGTTTGATAGGTTTAATTTTTTCAACGTGTGATTTTATTATATAAATTCTTTAATTTTTTCAACGCGATTTTTATTATATGTCAGCATTTTTATAACTTTGTAGTTATATCAGTAGATTTTTTTTCTATTTTTTAAGATTCGTGAGGTTAATTAKATTTCTAATAGATACGGTATTAATTTTATTAGATATTAATATTAGGTTTTTTTTTTATTTTTAAAGATTCTTACACCGTTACCGTCAACGGACGGTAAACGCGTTTCTACGGCCAATACCGCCTCGGTTGCTAACGCTAAAAGGATTAGGTTAAATCTCGTTAAGGCTCCCGGGTTCATAGAAATTTTGGGTACTTGTTTGTTATCGCCCCGCCAGTACACCGTATAAAATTTATCGCCCCGCCACTCTTGTTTGTTATCGCCCCTCCATAAATAAAAAAAAATATTTCAATGTATAATATTATGTTATTTTATTTTAATAGTGTTAAATATATAAATGTATAGTATAAAATTTAAATTCAAAAATGTATAAAATATAAAATATGTAGAAAAATGTAGAAAATATATTATGAATATATACTAATATATAGTTATAATGGAGGCCAGAATTCGGAAATATCTTTGAGGATAGTTTCAAATGCGTATTGTTTTCCGAGACGTGTTCTCCA